AATAAATATAATTTGTTCAATGATGTATTGTTTAAAAAAAGGTTTATTAAGTTAACCTAATAATATTTCATGTGTTTAAATATCTAATGATTAAAACTTAGCATAATGTTACAATTAATTAACCATAAGTACCTATTTTTAATGGTTGTAAAAAATTATCATAGCCTAGCTTAATATCAAATAATAAATAAATAAATTGACGTCAACAATGGACGTATAAATAGAAAAACATTTCTTTCGCTTTCATTTCGAGGAACGCAATGTACATGTATAGGTACATCGCGTTCCTTTTAGATTATATATATAATCTAAAATTAAATTATTGAAGGCAATAAATAAATATATACTAATTTCGTAGAAATACATGTTGTGACTTGGAACGCACGTGCGTTTAACTGATAACGAATAATTTTGTTCTAAAAAAACAATCATTAGCCATACCACCCTCCAGCTATGCGTAGCTATTTTAAGCGGATCATTCGCATATTGTGTAAGACTTACCTCCGAACTTTCTTACGAAATAGACCATGGCTTGGTGTGTTGTTAATTTTATGAACGATAATTCAGTGGAAGATTTTCCCGACTTTTGGTTTAATCACAAAACTGGAACGTGTGCCTGCCAACTAACCGCTTAAATAACAGTCAGTTATTGAAAAAAGGAGAATATCTAATAGAAAAAAATTTTAATATTTCAAAGCCAGAGTTTTCTCTAGTTGTGAACACATCGGTAAGTATTTTCAATAATAGTAATATTATTATATTATATTATGTGAGCGTAGATGATGTGGGAGATGTGATAAGGGTAGCCGACTCCAAGTAGTTGGGATTAAGGCGAGGAATAATAATAATAATAATAATAATAATAATATTATTATTCCCTTATGCATTATTGTTTGTTAACTACATAGTTATTATTCATTTTAGTGATCTAATTTGATTTAGTTAATTTTTTGGATGCAAGAGATAAATGTAGGCTTGCTGAAGATACATCTGATTTAGATGGATTGTCATCTAAACGAAAAAAGTAAAAAAAAAATTTAATTCTAATCGGTCTGAGAGGTCTACTCCTAATTCATCACCTGAACTTGCTGATCTAAAAATTGAAAGTGATTGTCCTTTATTTTCTTCTGAATCTGATGACGGTAATTATTTAGCTTGTAGTAATTAATTTAACAACTGATTATTTTTTGTTTATTTTATGTAAAACCGCCAAAACTAAATGGTTCAAAATTTCTTTTACTTTCTAATATGTTTTTTTTAGCTAATTCACCAAATCGGTATAATTTTTCACCTCCCAATAAAAGATTAGTCACATCAAAAATATCATGCACCTCATATTCTAAAAATTTGAAAACATAAGTATGGCTCATAATATTTTAATAAGTTTTTGAATTAGATAACTAATTAAAATTTTGTTTTTAGCTGAATCTTCAAAAAAACGCTATCATTTACAATCTAATAATAATTTTTCTGTATCACCATCAGCATTATCATACAGCTCAAAATCTACAAAATCTAAGAAAATAAGTATGACTCTTAATATTTTAATTTTTTTTTAATTAGATCACTAATTAAATATTTTTTTATTGTTGATTCTCCAAAAAGATGCAATTATTTACAAATCAAAAATAATTTTATTGAATCACCATCTAAAATAATATACATTTTTATTGTTTCTAAAACCAAAATAATGCTCTTTATATTTGAACTTAATTTTAAATCAGAAATCTTTTTAATGAATTTTTTTTTAGATGATTCACCACGAAGTTGCAATTATTTATGTGCTAAAAAATGTTTAATTTTTCTACCATATATAGAAAATAATTGTTCAAGTAGCCCAAGAGATAATTTTTGTTGTATCTTAAGAAATTTTAATTCTGTTTGAACTAAAAAAATTTATAGATGGCACTTTATCTACTCAAAAACTTGTTTAATCACAGCTCATCAGAAATTGACCAATTAAATAAGTAAAACATGAGACCCTTGAGCTTAGAGTGCTGAAATTGAGGTTTGGGTGCTATAACACAATCTATTGCTCTTGTAGTTTAAACACTGAGCATACCTATTTGATTTTGGAATAAGACAGTTATATTCTTTTTTTTTGGGAGCACTCTTGGCTAAAGAGGTTTTGATATAATTTCTTGAACATCAATTGTATTACTGTCAATTTATTTTTACTAGTTACTTTTTATTTAAGTAGATTTATACATTTTTTAAAATTTAGATTATTTATTTTATTCAATGACATATTATATATTTTTAATATTTAATATATGTAAGTATATTTTTTTGTGTAAGAGTAGCTTTTCAAAGTAAAATGTTTAAAACCCAACTTTTCATTAAATATGAAATTAAATCAATAAATGAAAAATTGGACATTTTGTTACAAAATTTTGAAAGGTTAGAAAATTTGAAGGTACTTACCATTTCAGAAAATAGTTCCACAACTGATTATTCAGCTATGAATTATATCTTCCCTATTGAATTGGAGACTGATTTAGAAAGTGTGAATGAGCAAATTTTATCAGATTCTGCTTACCAAAAAAAACTGGTATAGTTAATTAGTTATGTTCAAATTATTAATCTTCAATAACATGTAAATAATTAAAGAGCTTTATAAAATAATAGAAATACACATTATACTGATACTTCTGACTGCAAATGTTTTTTTCATATTAATTTTTGAAATCGGGATTGAGTATTAAGTGTTATTAATAAGATGTGCTTAAGAAGTACTCTGATGATTAATTATTGAATAATAATAATTATTAACTTAATAATTTCATTTTTTCTGTAAATTAATATGATTGAATAGTTTTTCTAAAAAAATTAATTTTTTAAAAAGTTAATTTATTGATAATTTGTTACATACTAGATTAAAGAACTTTCATTATTGGGTAGAGGTAATGTAAGAAAAATATTAAAACGGATAATGACTAAACTATTCAGTGATTAAGTATTGCAGCATTACTAATATGTTGGTAGAGGTATAAAAGGGAAAAAAAATTTTAGCCAGTTACCAATTTTTAAGGTTGTATTTGGTAAGCAATAACTTGTCTGACTTTTTAATAAAATATTTTAACAGTTTTCTTTATTCTAGAATAATGATCAAAATTGTTATTATTTATTATGATATTATTTTAAGTAAAACAATTTTTTTTTTTTTTTTGAACTAGTATGCTAATTTTATTCTAGACTATTGTTAAAATTCCAAAATATGAAAATTGTCTATAAGAGGTTGAAGACAAAATGAAAATATATTTAACTTAAGCGTCTTTTAGGTTGAAGAGATCACATAAAAAAAATTAGGTATGTATTCTGATATATGTAGGTGTAATTTATTACGCCTACATAATGTTAAGATTGCAAGGTTATATAAATAAGAACTTTTGGTTCACAAACCATTTATACAACGTTATTTAAACGTTTATTTAATGTCTGATATTGATTAATATCAAATATTAATGTTATATTAATATTGCACATTACTTTTGTTACGTTAATTTAACATTACAATAATATTTTTATGTTATCTGGGATTCCAGACGTAGAAATGAAAATGTTGCAATAATTAAAGTTATGTAATATTAAACAGTATGTAAATGATATAACGAAACTTTCAGTATTTTCAACGAAATTTTAAAATGAACAAAAAAAATTGGATTTTTTTTAATACTCAAACTATTCTTTTTAAATTTATGAAAGATTCATTTTAAATTTAAACAAATATAAATATGTATAATAAATCCAAAAAATAAATAAAATTTAATGGTTTTAAAAAAATCATTTTTTTGATATATTTAGTTACTACAGCAAAAAATACACAATTACAATACTATACGAATAGTTTATTTTAAATTTTAATAATTTGACAATTTAGAATAAAAAAAAAATTATCTTCTACATAATTAATTTAATTGTTTTCTTTTTTTGTAACATTCAGTTTAAATTCCTCCACAAGAAACCATTAATCTATAAAGAAGTCTATTTTCAACATGAACCATAATTATAATGAAACAATTCTTTGAGTAAAATTTCAATCATGTTCTTATTGTTTCGGAAAATGTGAATATTTCAAACATTGCTGGTAAATTAAGACAATCGGAATACATTTTATTAATAAGGGCTCGGACTATATGTGCCCAGATCGATTGGCGAAACTACTTACCAGACTTAGGAGTGTTGAGGCAGGCTCCTGCAGCCAATCACGGGGTTGGTACTGTGACAGCAGGGAGTGGTGGTGACCAAGACACTTACGCCGGTGAAATAACCGAGAGGTCATTGGCAACGGACTGTTAGACTGTTGATGATAGGATCGGATTTGTATGCAACACTGAATTCTCAATCAATTTTTTTCTTCGAAGACTTTCAAGAAGAAAATCAACTTTAACATTAGTCATAGTGATAGTTATAATGATAGGAATAATAGATTTAGTTACTATAATAGCAATAATAGATTTAGTTATAACAGTAGAAATAAGAAAACTCAAATATTTTATCCATCAAATAAACTTCTACCAGACAATAACAAAGGAATCACAAAATTGCCGGATACAGAACTAGAAGTCCATCACATTGATTCGACTTTTCAATTGAAGTCATTGGAAGTCAAAGAAATACATTTTAAAGTAACGATTATTGTTATGCTGATTAATAAGTCCAATAAACTTTATTTTTTTTTTTACACAGAGTTCTCATCCCGATAAAATTAATACAAAACAAGTGCCACCGTATAATGTACTAAAAAAATATTGGGATAAACGGTACAGACTCTTCAATAAATATGATCGAGGCATACAATTGGACGCCGAAAGTTTCTATTCGGTCTGTCCGGAGATATTAAGTTATCACATTGCCCAACGTTGCAAGGGCAAAGTAGCAATGGACCCATTTTGTGGAGCTGGTGGGAACATAATTCAATTAGCCAGGTTCTACACCAAAGGTAAACACGATTACAACTATTTTATTTTTTTATCCAATAATAAACACAATAAATTAAGTAGTCATTTATCAACCCAACCGTTTACTGATTTTTTTTTTTTTATTCCAACTTCGTAGTTAATTATAATATTGATGTGCATATCTAATTTTGATTTTTCAGTCATAGCGATCAACAAAGATCCCGAAAATATTAAAATTGCTATACACAATTCTAAAATTTACGGTGTGGAGCAACACATTTATTTATTGTGGGAGATTTTTTTAAATTGGCTAATCAATTTAAAGCGAATGTTATTGTCACATCGCCCCCTTGGGGCGGACCTGATTATTCAAAAAAAGAAAACTACACCCTAAGGAACATGTGTCAAGATCAGGGGCATGACGGTTTCGACATCTTTGGATTAGCTCGAAAAATTGCCCCAAATATTGTACTCCATTTGCCAAAAAATATATATCTTGCAGAAGTATGTTCGTTCACACACCATGTTTTTTTTTTTTACTGAATTCTGTATTTTTAAGTTACTGCATCAGGGGATTCGGATGCCCCAGTGCCGGCGGTTGGTGGGGGGCGTACCCACCAGGTGTCGACATCAATCGAATACGCGTCAAATGCAGGAGTGTTGAGGCAGGCTCCTGCAGCCAACCACGGGGTTGGTACTGCGACTGCAGGAAGTGGTGGTGACCAAGCCACTTCCGCCGGTGAAATAGCCGGGAGGTCATTGGCAACGGACTGTTTGGAGATCGGAACGGATTTGTATGCGGCTACCCCTCCAGAAAGGTCGGCAACAACACTGACTTTTCAGTCAACAAAAACTTTTTTTTCTTCAAAGACTTACAAGAAGAAAATCAATCTTAGTATTAGTCATAGTGATAGGAATAATAGATTTAGTTACTATAATAGCAATCATAGATTTAGTTATAACAGTAGAAATAGGAAAACTCAAAAATTTTACCCATCAAATAATATCACCAACAAACTTCATCCAGACAATAATAAAGGAATGACTACGTTCAACACTACTCAATGGAAAATTAATGATGACTTCGAAAATAATGAAAATGAAACATTGAATACAATAATTTTCGAAAATAGTAATCGTAATTCGACTTTTCAATTCAAATCAATGGAAGTCAAAGATATACATTTTAAAGTAACGATTATTGAACATGTGTCAAGATCAGGGGCATGACGGTTTCGACATCTTTGGATTAGCTCGAAAAATTGCCCCAAATATTGTACTCCATTTGCCAAAAAATATATATCTTGCAGAAGTATGTTCGTTCACACACCATGTTTTTTTTTTTTACTGAATTCTGTATTTTTAAGTTACTGCATCAGGGGATTCGGATGCCCCAGTGCCGGCGGTTGGTGGGGGGCGTACCCACCAGGTGTCGACATCAATCGAATACGCGTCAAATGCAGGAGTGTTGAGGCAGGCTCCTGCAGCCAACCACGGGGTTGGTACTGCGACTGCAGGAAGTGGTGGTGACCAAGCCACTTCCGCCGGTGAAATAGCCGGGAGGTCATTGGCAACGGACTGTTTGGAGATCGGAACGGATTTGTATGCGGCTACCCCTCCAGAAAGGTCGGCAACAACACTGACTTTTCAGTCAACAAAAACTTTTTTTTCTTCAAAGACTTACAAGAAGAAAATCAATCTTAGTATTAGTCATAGTGATAGGAATAATAGATTTAGTTACTATAATAGCAATCATAGATTTAGTTATAACAGTAGAAATAGGAAAACTCAAAAATTTTACCCATCAAATAATATCACCAACAAACTTCATCCAGACAATAATAAAGGAATGACTACGTTCAACACTACTCAATGGAAAATTAATGATGACTTCGAAAATAATGAAAATGAAACATTGAATACAATAATTTTCGAAAATAGTAATCGTAATTCGACTTTTCAATTCAAATCAATGGAAGTCAAAGATATACATTTTAAAGTAACGATTATTGAACATGTGTCAAGATCAGGGGCATGACGGTTTCGACATCTTTGGATTAGCTCGAAAAATTGCCCCAAATATTGTACTCCATTTGCCAAAAAATATATATCTTGCAGAAGTATGTTCGTTGACAAATCTTGTTTATTTTTTACTGAATTTTGTATTTTTATTTTTTAGTGCCAGTCTTTAGCCAACAGCTTTAATGATAAACTACAAATTGAAAAAAATTTCATGAATAATAAACTGGATTCGATTTCGTCATTTTTTGGAGATTTTTATTGATAAGACGCCAGTTATATTTTTTTAAATTTTATTCATTTTTTATTTAACCAATAGTAGTTCTCTACTATCTTTTATCTTATTTTTATTTTCTTATTGTAATTTTATATTTTTTAGTCATAATGCTTTTTTTTATTGTAGTTTAATTTAGTTAATAAATTTTGTATAATCCGAAAAAATATTTTTTTTCATTTTGTTCTTTAGTCAATAAGGTTATTTTTGCTTTATGCACTTTAAAATATTATTTTATACCGATATATGATGTGTCATGAATTAAAAATTTACATTTTACTGTTAACCTCAACAATTTTAAAGGAGAATTCACTTTAGTAATTTAAAAGTATTTACGTTTTTTTAATTTTTTTTTATCCTATTTTTATTTTCTTATTGTAATGTTATCCTTTTTAATTATAATTTTTTTTTTATTGCTTTTTTATTTAATTAATTTATTTTGTATATTCCGACTATATGATTTTTTTCCTAATTCCAATTAATTATTTTAAACTTTGTGTTTTGCCATTTTACCTTCAGGCTGTTTAAATCGTCATTATTGAAACGGGAATGGGTCACCTGAGGGATGACAGCTAACTATACATCTAATAAGTAAACGAGAGTAGACAATAATTAAATAACAAATAACCATATGTATAAATTCCTCAGAGAGTATCTTAAATTTAAGGGGTAACGGGGAGCCCTTAAATACCAGTGGCCAGCGAAGTGGCATAAAACAAATAGTTAATCTCAATTAAAACAAACAATAAATAACATTGAAATAATATAAACTCAGCTGAATAGATGAAGTTGTTGATAATGATGAGTGGACTGTATGAGATCTTGTGGTAATGGTGTTGATCATCTGAGTATGTCGAGTCTGAGCGTAAATCCAG